GTAGAGCACCCTTCTATTCAAGAGGAGTTCACATTTTATTTAGCTTAGATGGCAGGCTAGAGAATGTCTATTTTGTGCTAGAAAAGAATAGTCAGTATTCAACATACTTCTTTATGCAGTTGTTGGTGTGTGTGCTGTACATGAGGAAATGTCTGTTACACCTGTAACCTTTACTATGGCAACATGCTAATTTAGCGCTATCTGTGAAAATTATACCTCACCAGCTCTCTTTTTCCTCTGCCCACCATAGCAACAGAGGCAAATCAAGGCCAGTTCACTATGACACCTTAGAAACATTATTGGTATGCTGTAATAGTATATATGGGCAGTTTTCACTTGGAGCCTTTGTCTGTTCTGTCAATAAGTCTTGTGTTTAAGCGGCCCCAAAGGATTCATTGACACAATTGATTTCAGGGTCAACTATGGCTGCTTTTAAGAAGTCCCTTGGTACAAATTTACATGATAGCTCATCATGAATACTGAAAAGCCATTAGATGCCTGCTTCTAATGAATGTGAATGGCAAGTATTTAAGTGGAAAAGAATATCTGAATATAATAGCACAATGCTGGTTGTCTGCATCTGGAAAATACTTTTCAAACTTAAAAAAATATTTCCCATATCACAGCTTATGTAAAATGTTGGCAGAATTTAAGGAGTTAGGGCCAATGATATTTTCACACATTATCATATTACCTGTTGTAAAACAGGTGCATGATAAGTATTTTCACCTGAACACATTCTGTAACAAATAAAGAGTCTGTTATTTCCACTATTTTGAGCCTGTTATTCAGTCACAAGAAGTATCCATCTGATTCACGTACAGATAGCCATCAGCTAAATCTTTAATCTGCTATATGTTGAGTTTTGGTGTGCCAGGGACCTGTACAATATATCAGATTGAACAATTTCAGGACAGCGTGGAATGGATTCAGCATGTTGGCAATTGCATGTGTAGAACCAGCTTTACACAGCTGAACCATTTGCCTGGGTGCCTGAGGCTCCCATTGTTATTTGCAAACCACAATGTTGAATTCAATCCTGAGCTATTTAAAGAGCACACAGAATATATGGATTCCATTGTTCCTGGATCACAGTTGATGTTGAGAACCCCTCTCTCTATTTCAACCACCATTGCTAATGGCCACTGACAGAGAAGGATTGCAGCCAGAAACTACTGAACGTCATTCCTTCCCAACCCCTTTTTCTTGTATGTCATGTCTCATTTAGATTGTAATCCTCAGGACAGGGAACTCTCAATTATAAGCCTATCTGGGAACCTTTGTGGTTGAAGAGCATGGTATGAATTTGCTAAATAAATAAATCAATTAGTTTTGTTTCGATGACTGTGGACTATTGTAAGTGAAATAATTAACTTCCTTAAGCAAATATATCAAAGAAGGGAAAGAGAAAACACTAATAGATGCCCATAGAGAGGGTGAACAGTGAAGAAAGAGCAGAGTCCTACAGAAATGATATTAAGGCAAATATTGAAAAAATAATTAACAATAGTAAATATAACCAGTGTAATTGTTGATCACCTTATTCATGTAACAAAACTGAATATAGGTAATGCCATGATACATTGACTACAATTGTACATTGCAATCTATACAATCATCTGGAAATCATTGAGGGAACATAAGCCTGAAAAAAATGTTTAAAAATGGTGAAGTAACCATTTTCTGGGACATTTAGGATTCAAACTGATAAGTCTAATATGTAAGACTTAACTGTGGTTGGGGGAGCAGGGTGTGACAGTCCCTCGGGAAGCACAACTGAAAACAAAGAGATGGAAGAGATTATGAAATAATGAGACATAGAAATGGAGACCCAATACCTCTGGAAAAAGAAGATAACTGCTCTTCCAGTGGTGATGGCTGCTCTGGAAACAATTCAAGACAAAATATCTGAATGAAATCACTATTGATGGAATCACAATAACACAATTTCAGAAATTATACTTCTTAAGACATGCCACATCATTTGGCAATATTTCACAGATTTCTTGCTTCTTGGATGAAATCCAAATAACCAATGGTCCAAAATTTCATTTGATAATATCTGGGAGACTCAAGCTATGGAGAATGAGGATACATGGGAAAACTGACCTCTCTTCCAGAGACATTCTGTTTATCCAATCACTTGCTTTCTCAAGAATTTGTGTATGCTTTTTCCTGAAAATGTTCTTATGAGTCACTAATGTTTAAATGTGACAGCTAGGGATGGAAATATTTGTGTGTTTCATTTTACATGTGGGAATGAAAACCTTTTTCCCCTGCCACTTGAGATTCAAAGTATTCTTGTGAATTTTGTCCATTTGAGGATTTCCTTGATAAAATACAGTAGTTTTTCTATGACAAAGATATGGATCTTATCCATGATTCAAATGCCATAAATTCTATTCACTCATCTTGCCTTTATAAACATGTGCCTAGTAGCCGGCTAGAGAATTCCACAAGGTGGTTTTGCCAATAGAACTACAGGTTGAGCATCCTTTAATTCAAATGCTAAAATCCAAAGTATTCCAAAATCCAAAATAGCCCACATATATAGATGAGATAGTGACATAGTGATGGTTCAATATACACAAAGATAGTAGAAAATTATTACAAAAATGGTATAAAGGTACTTTTGGGCTATGAATATAAGGTGTATATGAAACATAGATGAATGTTATGTTTAGACCTGGGTGCAATCTCCTAGATATCTCACCCAAATACAGGTATTACAAAATCCAAAACACTTCCAGGATCTCATCACATGGAGGTCAAGAAGCCAGGGACAGCGGGAAAAACGCTGGGACAACGTATGTCTTCATCCACCTCTCTCTCTCTGCAGTTCCTTGGATGCTCTTAAGATCCTGATGGGTTGTTGTAGGTTTTTCGGGCTGTATGGCCATGTTCTAGAAGCATGCTCTCCAGATGTTCCACCTGCATCTATGGCAGACAACCTTGTGAGGTCACTACCTCTGATACCTGCCATAGATGCAGGTGAAACATCAGGAGATAATGCTTCTAGAACAGGGCCATACAGTCTGAAAAACCTACAACAACCCAGTGATTCCAGCCATGAAAGCCTTCAACAAGATCCTGATGTTTGGGAAACCTGGGAAAAGTCTTAAGAGACATAACCAACTTCAGCAAGGAGGGGAAGGGTTCCTGTTACACTAGCAGAGATCCATGTGACATTGCCTTTTAGGCCTGGGTGTTTAGTTGGATCTGATTTACAACAATGTGCCTGCCTCTTTAAAATGTAATGGAAGAACTGACCCTTCAGTGTCACTGGTTATCAGACAAAAAAAGTGGCAGTAACAAAAATAATGCTTACATTATCTGAGGATTTAAAAGAGATGCTTAACTATATTTTTCATCAGACAACAGTTCAGCACCAGATTGAATTCATCTGTCATAACACTGTTTCTGAACTGTTTGTGACATTAAACATAAAGCCTAATCTTTATACTATGGACTGGAGTAAAATGCATGAAGCTACTTTAAAGGGAGGAGAGAGAGCACTTCCATGATTGTGGTTGTTTTTGTGCTTTGTTGTTGCCGCTGTTTCCCTCCGTTATTCCTCAGACTGGATAAAAGGTGATGGGTCACAAGCTGCACAGCCAGGCTGTCTCTGCTGTTTGAGGAAACAAACCAGGCTACCAGTAACTCATACAGTTACTAATCCTAGCTTTCGAAATTGCTTTCACACAGTGGTGGCTATGATAGAGAATATACTTAGCATTGCATAAAAATGTGCTTGTTTGCAGTGAATCCTTCGCATCTGTCCTCTCTTTAGAATGGCTATCTTTGACAAATTGTTGAGGGAGGTTTTTTTTCCTTTTGCATTTTTCCTTTATTTCTTGTTCTTGTTGTTAATTCCCCTCTCCTTTTCAGACCTTTTAAATTATAATATTTCAGGAACAATCTATTTTACTTTGTAATATTTTGTGTATAGTATGGGTTTCCCCCCTCAGTATAGTTACATAACATTATTGTGAAATTCCCAGAACACTGTAGCTTCTCTATCTCAGCTCTCCCCCTTAATGTTAATGACATTACATTGCCTAAACTAGAATACAAAAAATGAAAAGGTCATAAAGATGAAGGTGAAATGTATGATTACCTATCAGTTGTTACAATAATATTCATTTCTTTGTTTTTTATTTCACGTTTCCTCTGATGAACTTAAGGCAGATACATGGCTCCCTTTCTGACTCTATCCATGCTAGAACCCTGTGAAGTAGATCAGACCGTCTCAGCATCATCTGCAGACCCTCCAACATTCTGGTTTGACAGGGACAGTCTTGTTTAGCTCTCTGTTGGCCCCCTTTTTCAGCTGCTTTTAAAATATTCCACTTTCTCTAGTTTCTTTCCATGTTTATCCTTTGTCTTCATTTGCTGCAAACTGATTTCGAAGTGCAGTAGATTATTAATGACATTACAAGGGGCAAAATCTTACCCTTCCCTGCGAGCTCAGATGACATCAACCTGCTGTAGCCTTTTGGCCATCTTAACCACATTCTGGCCACAAGTGTTTTAAATCTTTGAAGTATTGGAAGGTATGCATCCAGTGGGTATCATAGCTCAATGAAAATTAAATGTAGTGTCTCCCCATCCCAGCAGCTAACTAATACCTGAAGATATTAAATAAATTTCATGGTCTGTTTAAAAGAAAGAGATATTTACAATGTGAAAAACCTTGCTTCAATTAAAATATTATGTTAACATTTCCCTGGAGTTATAGAAAAATATGCTGATAAAAATACCAGAAAGCAGCAGTGTTATGCCATGCTTTTCACCCCACCAAATAATAAACCCAAACTCTACTAGTACTGTGACATATGACAGGAGGAGAATTTGAGCAGCATGAAATACTTAATCTGTGTTGTAACTATTGTTTGTTCCTTCACTTTCTATGCAAACACATTTAGCTTGGTGTGATGGAACACATTTAACCTTGCTGAATAATACTGTCTGCTTAATATCTCATTTGTTTTCTCTTTCAGAAACCTGAGTAACAATAAGATCAAAGAGATTCGGGAAGGCGCATTTGATGGGGCAGCGGGAGTTCAAGAACTGATGTTGACAGGGAATCAGTTGGAATCTGTGCATGGACGAATGTTTAGAGGTCTTGTAGGGCTCAAGACATTGTGAGTATAAAATCTGTTTGATTTTCTTTAGACTGGGAAAGGGGAAGAAAGGCAGAAAGGTACTGTTGTGTATCTGTTGCATGTTTGATCACAGGTGCAATGAATTAGCACTGCTGGTTTTGACAGCAGACTGATGGGACCCAAGGTAGGAGACTTAACATTGTGAGTATGCATAGGACTCTGTGAATTACTGTTCTAATCTGTTAGTAGCACCTCTGTGATCTTTAATTATATTGTGGCTTCCTAGCAATCCTGAAAATCTTTCTGTAGAAACCTACATTACCTTGTTCTCCTATTCAAATGAAAGGTGCATTGAGTCCTCAAGCAAGTATAAAACATGCATAGCAAGAAAGGAAGTTTCTGTATGTTGAGGCTTATTATCACTAATGTGAGCTAGAGCCACGTGTCCCTGATAATTTCTTGGGCAACAAACATTATCTTGGGATTGCTTACTCATTTCTTACATTGCATGCAAGTGTCTTCTGTAAAATATTTTCCCAGTACTTACACTATTTGAACATTCTTGAATGCTGTGAAAAGTATATATTTAGTTTAAGATGCTAAGCAAAACCACAGACTGCTATAGAGAGTGCTTTTGTAGAAGAAATACTAAATATTGACTAAATCAACAATGACTTACAGCAAGAATGCAAACTGAAAGAGACCAGACAGGAACAGCAGACAGGACATGTTCTTCAAAGCATTATATTGCATCAAAATGAATGCTAAAGACTTAAAGCCACAACTGCAATGGAAGTGGACAGGTTTTTCTGATGCTTGCCTTTTCTTAAAAAAAAAAAGTTTAGCTATCTCACATTAAACTAGAACGAGATCCATACACCTCAACCCAGTATAAAGAGATGAAGATTATGCAAAATCATTTGCTTATTATAATACATGGTGCCTATCGTTGCCATGGACCGACCACTTCCTGGTCAGATTTAGGCTCACTGTGCCCCCTAACCTCTGCAGAGGTGGAGGACCCATTAAGTTGGTCCGCCCCAGGAGGCTTATGGATCCAGATGGATTCCTGACGGCTCTTGGGGAGTTTGCCGCCACCTCGGTAGGTGACCCTGTTGATGCCCTGGTCGCTCTCTGGAATGGGGAGATGACTAGGGCAATTGACACGATCGCTCCGGAACGTCCCCTCTCAAGTAGCCGAGCTAAACCAGCCCCTGGGTTCACTGAGGAGCTGGCAGCGATGAAGCGAAGGAAGAGGGAACTAGAGAGCGTGTGGCGTTCGGATCCGAGCGAGCCAAATCGAACACGGTTTGTGTCCTTTTTAAGGGCATATGCCGCGGCAATAAAAGCCGCAAAGAAAACTTTCTTTGCGGCCACTATTGCGTCTGCAAAGAACCGTCCGGCTGAGTTGTTCCGGATTGTCAGAGGCCTTTTAAACCCCGCCACTCTAGGCGGGAACCCTGACAATTCGGCCTCTCGCTGTGAAGCTTTTGCTCAGTTCTTTGCAGACAAAGTCGCTTTGATCCGTTCTGGTCTGGACACCATATTAAGGGCAGTCTCTGAGGATGTAACACGAAGCACCTGCTTGTCCTATTTTGATGGATTCATTTCAATTAGTGAAGCCCGAGGATGTGGACAAGATACTTGGAGGAATGAGGCCTACCACGTCCATCCTAGACTCCTGCCCATCCTGGCTTCTAAAGGAGGCCAGAGGGGGATTGGCTGAGTGGGTTGAGGTGGTGGTTTAATGCCTCCCTCCGGGAAGGCAAGATTCCAGCGAGCTTAAAACAAGCTATAATAAAACCGCTGTTGAAAAAACCATCACTGGATCCCACTAAATTTGACAACTTTCGGCCAGTTTCCAATCTTCCCTTTTTGGGCAAAGTCCTGGAACGCGTGGTGGCCTCACAACTCCAGGTATTCTTGGGAGACACGGATTATCTGGATTCGGCACAGTCTGGTTTCAGACCGGGACATGGAACTGAGACAGTCTTGGTCGCCTTAGTGGATGATCTGCGCCGGGAGCTCGACAGGGGGAGTGTGTCCCTGTTGGTGCTGCTGGACCTCTCAGCGGCCTTCGATACCGTCGACCACGGTATCCTTCTGGACGCCTCGCGGGGATGGGTCTCGGGGGCACTGTTTTACAGTGGCTCCGGTCATTCCTGGAGGGTCGATCCCAGAAGGTGTTATTGGGGGACACCTGTTCAACCCCGCAACCTTTGTCATGTGGGGTTCCACAGGGCTCAATACTGTCTCCCATGTAGTTTAACATCTACATGAAGCCGCTGGGAGAGATCATCCGGAGTTTCGGGGTACGGTGTCATCTGTACGCAGATGATGTCCAACTCTGTCACTCCTTTCCACCTGCTACTAAGGAGGCTGTCGAGGTCCTGAACCGGTGCCTGGCCGCTGTAACGGTCTGGATGAGGGCGAACAAATTGAAATTGAATCCAGACAAGACAGAGGTACTCCTGGTCAGTCACAAGGCCGAACAGGGTATAGGGTTACAGCCTGTGCTGGATGGGGTCGCACTCCCCTTGAAGGCGCAGGTTCGCAGCTTGGGTGTGATCCTGGATTCATCGCTGAGCCTGGACCCCAGGTTTCGGCGGTGACCAGGGGAGCATTTGCACAGCTTAGGCTCGTGCGCCAGCTGCGCCCGTACCTTGGGAAGTCTGACTTGGCCACGGTAGTCCACGCTCTGGTTACATCCCGTTTAGACTACTGCAATGCTCTCTACGTGGGGTTGCCTTTGAAGACGGCCCGGAAGCTCCAACTGGTCCAACGTGCGGCAGCCATGATACTAACAGGAGCGGGACGCAGGGAGCATACAACCCCTCTGTTGTACCAGCTCCACTGGCTGCCGATCTGCTACCGGGCTCAATTCAAGGTGCTGGCATTGGCCTATAAAGCCCTAAACGGTTCCGGCCCAAGATACCTAACTGACCGCCTCTCGACCTATGAGCCCACGAGGACTTTGAGATCTTCCGGGGAGGCTCTGCTCTCGATCCCGCCTGCTTCACAGGCACGGCTGGCGGGGACGAGAGATAGGGCCTTCTCGGTGGTGGCTCCTCGGCTGTGGAACACCCTTCCCGTGGACATCAGGCTGGCTCCTTCCCTGATGATATTCCGCAGGAAATTAAAGACTTGGCTGTTCAAGAAGGCGCTCGAACAAGAAGTGCAATGATTGGTAATTGATTAGGAATGGAACAATGGAAAATGATACTGGATTGTGGTTTTGACGATGAGACGACGCGGAATGGCTTTTGTAGTAATGATGGTTTTTTGATGATGTTTTTTTGTTAATGATGGACTGTGGATTATTTTATATTGTGTCTTGCATTTTGAACCTTGTTCTTTCTATGTTGTACACCGCTGTGAGTCGCCCCTGGGCTGAGATCAGCGGTATATAAGCAAAGTAAATAAATAAATAAATAAATAAATATCATTGGCACCATCTATTAGGAGCCCATAACATACAGAATAGTAATGAATAGGTTACGTAAGGAAACCATCTCAATTAGAATTTAACCTGAGATACAAAACTGTAGACAGTAAAAGGGGAGAAGGAGTACCCTCAGTTCACTCTTGACATGTGATGCACAAGACAAAAGTGCACATGGAGAAATGCAGTTTTCTAAAGTGCTACAACCATCAAAACCAGTAAGAAATGAAGTGGCTATATGGAAAGAGAGCAGCAGAAGGTGCCCAGTTTCCATTAGTTGCAGGGTAAAGAATTGGGATGACGGAATAAGACAGTTTTTTTCTGATTTAAATTTTAACATGAGCCAGAGTACAACAGAGAATGGTCACCTCATATTTCAAGTAAGCATCATCACACTCCAAAAATGTATTTTTCTAAGCCAAAATATATTAAAATTGTCAAGGACATGTTGGCTAACATTTAGGTATCAGGTTTTATCTTTCAGTTGACTTGCCCACACATTGCCTCCTTCTTCTTTCATTTCCCCTCCCCTCTTTTAATTAAGAAATTCTAATTATAGATTTAAATCCTTTTTAGGATGCTCAGGAGCAACATGATCAGTTGTGTAAACAATGACACCTTCACAGGACTGAGCTCCGTAAGATTACTCTCTCTCTATGACAATCGCATTACTACAATCACCCCAGGAGCCTTCAATACACTGGTTTCTTTGTCTACAATGTAAGTAATCTTGTTACTTTAAGTGTTCAGTTTTGATTTATGATAGTTACTTTAATTTAGTTACATGAAAGTAAGAAAAATAACTATAAAACCATTCTCTCTCTTTTTAAAAAAACCCCAACTTTCGAGTAAACCTGTAATTTTTTGAAGTTGTTTTACAAAATCAATTAAAGTGGTTTTAACAATAGCAACAATATTGTTGATAAATATAAACACATGAAGAGCCATGCCCACGTCTTCCTGTGGCCTCAAGACATGGCACAACATGGTTCAAACAGTCAGGCAAATACAACACCATTAAAATGCATCTATCAAAGACCGACACCGATACCAATAAAGCACAGGTTAAAATTCACTGTTGAAATTGACTGGGTAGGTTAGACTGGAGAAGCTCCATCTAGTCCAACATTCTGTGATCAAACAGATTCCAAAAGGAAGACCTCAAGCTTCCCCCCAAATGTAAAAGCCTTCTCCCACTCATGAGCCCCAGCACCTGATAGACACACAAGGGCACAGTCTCTGGAATTGAAAGAAACATAGATATAAACCCTGACAAACAGCCACCTGAGTTTCAGTGCTTCGTTAATATGAATAATTATCTCACTAGCCTTTTAAATCTAGTGTTCCTCTTCTTTCAAATGAGAGTCTGATCCTGACTGGTATTGTGTCAGGCAGGGGCATCAAATGGTTTCATGACAGGGATAGAACGTAAGGGATTTCCTGGTTCACATTATCCCTTAATTACTGCAGTTGATTTCAGAATTAAAGTCTCTGAACATGTGTAATAAATACCCTGCAACATGTGTAATAAATACCTTCAGACCTCTCACTAATCTCTCTACCACAGATCTTAAAAGATCTGATCTTGTTTGCTTTTTCTCTTTGTATTAAGATCCCTTGAAGCAGTCTATGTATATGCCTCATCAGTCTTTACTTTAATTATCATTAGGATGGTTCATATTTCCTCTCAGTGTTTAACTTGTATTTCTTTCTGCATCACAGTACTTTATGAACTACTCTGCTCATTTTTTTCCCTTTGTGTAGACTGTGTAGAATCAACATTAACAAATGAATTATCATAGGCCTGATAATTGCATTCAAAGTAAATGAACAAAATGTGTTTTCCATACTTATGATTTGTTTCTTGTCTTTTTAAAAAAAAACTGGTTGTGAAATTCACATAGATTAGACACTGGTAATTCAGCTGTGAAGTATCCATGTCATTCTGTTCTTGCCAAGACATACACAAATACATTTGTGCACACTTCATCTATCCTGTAGCTTTAAAAAGGGATAAAATTTCCCTTAAATTCAACTTCTGAATATGTAAATCAGAAACAGGCTAAATTCCAAATTCATGAAGTTTTGCCTAAGATCCTACTATGTGAATTCTACCCTAGTTTGGGGTTGTACTCCAAACTGAAACCTAACAATTAATGTGTTGCTGTGGCCATGTTTCAGAAACATTCTCTCCTAGCGTTTCACCCGCATCTATAGCAAGCATCCTCTGAGGTTGTGAGGTCTGTTGGAAACTGGCCAAGTGATGTTTATATATCTGTGGAATGTCCAGGATGGGAGAAAGAACTCTAGTCTGAGGCAGGTGTGAATGTTATAATTGGCCACCTTGATTAGCATTGAATGGTCTTGCAGCTTTAAAGCCTGGCTGCTTCCTGCCTGGGGTAATCCTTTGTTGGGAGGTGTTAGCTGACCCTGATCGTTTCATGTCTGGAATTCCCCAGTTTTTGGAGTGTTGTTCTTTATTTACTGTCCTGATTTTAGAGGGTTTTTTTAAATACTGGTAGCCAGATTTTGTTCATTTTCATGGTTTCCTCCTTTCTGTTGAAATTGTCCACATGTTTATGGATTTCAGTGGCTTCTCTGTATAGTCTGACATGGTGGTTGTTCGAGTGGTCCAGCATTTCTGTGTTCTCTAATATGCTGTGTCCAGGTTGGTTCATCAAGTGCTCTGCTGTGACTGACTTCTCTGGTTGAATTAGTCTGCAGCGCCTTTCATGTTCCTTGATTCGTGTTTCGGTATTGCTGTGTTTGGTGGTCCCTATGTAGACTTGTCCACAGCTGCATGGTATATGGAAGATTCCTGCAGAGGTGAGAGGTCCCCTCTTGTCCTTTGCTGAACGTAGCATTAGTTGGACTTTCTTCATGGGTCCGTAGAATCTGCGAAGCCTACATCCTCCAAGGTGGAGGAGATGAACAACCTAAACTGGGCTCTACAGGCCAATGGATACTCCACTACAGACATCAGAAGAGCTGCAAGACCAAGAACAAGCCACAAGAGTAAAGACAAAGACCCACCCAGAGGAAATGTGTTTTTACCATACATCAAGAGAACCACTGACCGCATAAGGAAGCTAATGAAGAAACATGACATACAAACTATCTACAGGCCCGCTAAGAAAGTCCAACAAATGCTATGTTCAGCAAAGGACAAGAGGGATCATCTAACCTCTGCAGGAGTCTACAACATGTGCCATGCAGCTTGGACAATTCTACATAGAGACCACTAAACGCAGCACCCAAACACCAAGTGAAGTTCTTTGACGGTGAGATATTTTCAGTAATACTGAGTCTCTCAATCCTGGTAACAGGCACATTTTATTATTGCTGTGGACAAGAAATATAGTAGCTTTCCCTAGATATCTCTTAAGGTGATAATATTTATTCCTCTAATAAATTATGTGTTGACATTATTGGGGACAAAAGATGCAAAAAAAAATCAAGGCATTAGCTATGTGCCCATGATAAATGCATGCATTTTCTCAAAGGCTAGAACAAAACCATGTTTTATCAATGTTCAAAAGCATTAGTAATTGTATTATTTGGTTTATTACCCACTGATGGATTTTACCTGATACATTTTGGTTAATTAAATTCATCAGTTTAAATTGAGAAAGGGGTACAACTTAAGACAGTCTTCACATGGTCAAAAAAAAAGTGGACAGACTTTTGAGTGAAACTGTATCATACTTTAAAGACTCGGTCAGCTTCTTTTCTGGCCTTATTATTTTATGTAGATGATAAATAGATAGTTTTGTATGGGCCACCAATATTTTTTATAATTCCTCTTCCCTCCCCCCCCCCCAGTTTAGCCCTTCCTGCCCACATCAATGTTTTAATAATAATAATAATAATAATAATAATCATCATCATCATCATCATCATCATCATCATCTCCCCTTCTCCCCTTATACAGCTGAAAAGAAAATCCCAAGTATCAATGTATTTCAGGCGTATCTTGTAAAACACCTTGGGCACCCTTAAAAAAAACCTTTCAAAATAAAAATAGTCTGGCAGTGAATGTCTGTGTATTTCATAATTTGAAAATCATAAAGTATTTTAGTCTTTTGTCAAGAGGTGAGACCCTGAATATTCATAATAATTATTCATCTCCATTCAATATGATGGGCTTAAAACCCACAGAGATTTTAAACTCAGATACTATGTTGACTTTTCTTTCATTTCTTTCCATTTTTCCTTTTTCTTTTTTGCCTTTTCCCCCCTCTATGGCTTTTGAATTTGACAATTACATTGCACCCTTGTGATTTTTTAAAGATTATCTTCATATAACCATTAGAGCCTCAGGATCTTAGTATAGCTGGATGCTGATCCCTTCCTTCCCACCACTGGCAATAAAAATGTCACTGAAATGTTATGCATTAATGTATTGCATAAGGCTGGGCTTGAACTGTGGTAGTGGAGGTACACCTGCGAGATTTTTTTAAAGTGTTTCTTATTCACTGCTCTTAACCTTACTTGATGGCATATTTCCGTTATGCTTTTGATATATGATGTGTACAACCAATTTTACTAATAAAAAAGACCCCATGCTAGCCAGAAGGGATTTGGAAGACTTTTTTACACCATCAGTCAATATGTTGCTGACCATGATTTGTTAGCTTAGATTCTTCTTGATTTGTAGCAGCTGAAGTTAAGTTATGCATGTATTAAAGAATATATTTTGATCCCAGTGAAAAGGCTTGTGGATATTTTCAGTTGGAGAAATGAAGAAGAGTTAAACTCTTTTTTCTAGTACCCCAAAAGGAGAAACCTGATAGCCATCTCTCTGTTTGTCTCTCCCTCTTTGAGTGAGTGACCCAACACATTTCAATTGACATACATAATTGATTTATATGCCGTCTTGCTCCCAAGGCAGCTTCAAAAAACAATAAATTTAAAAACACTGACCATGCACTTTAAAAACAATTAAAATGTTGTTGTTATTATTATTATTATTATTATTATTATTATTATTATTATTATTATTATCTTTAATTATACCCCACCTTTCTCCCCTTAGGGACTCAGGGCAGCTAACAATCCCACATTAGACAAGTTTAAAAAGTGCAATACAAAAATAATATAAAAAACAAATTAAATAGTAACAGTGTGGTCAGAACAGAATTAAAATGCAATAAATACATTTAAAAGGGGCCTTTAAAAATCATACCCTCCCCCCCCCCCAATCCCACCCAACCTTCCCACTAATACATTTTGAAGGTGGAAGCAGCCACCGAGAAGGCTATCTCTTGAGTCCTCACCAAATAGGCCTGTGATGGTTGTATAAGACTCTATAGGTAGCAGCACTTCAAATTGTACTCATTTGGGAGACAAAACAGAATGAGAGATCCCACAGGCCAGTGGCCAAAACACTGAGCACAACTCTTCCTTTAAGAAAGACTCAGACCTCTCCATAACAGTGCCCCCAAGTCCTATCCCAGAGAGGCAGATCAGGAGGATGCCATGGCTGATGATGTCAAATGCTGCCAAGAGGTCCAGCAGAACCAACAGGGACAACTCTCCCTGTCCATTTCTTGGCATAGGTCAAGGAGACCCAAGGAGACCAAGGAGATCATTCCATAGCAATTCATAAAAACAGACTGAAATGGATCTAGATAATCAATTTTATCCAGAAGCCAATGGACTTGGGAGGTCACCACACACTTGCCAAAAATTGCATGGTAGATACTGGTCAATAATTATTCAGAATGATGGAATTCAGGGAAGCTTTTTCCATTAAGAGTCTCACCAAGCCTCTTTTAGGTAGGATAAAACTTCCCTACCTGTAATAAGATATTTACCACTCTCCTTATCCACAGCCTGAAAGATATTTGCTTTCAGAAGTCCAGAAAGGCAAAGAACCAAATCCCCTTCTGGGCATCTCAACCTCAGTCTGCACAAATTGAAATATATCCAATAAAGCAGGAGAAGCAGGTGTCAATATTACATGTACTGGGCCTATTTCAACTTTAGTATCCAAATCAAAGTGGATCCAAGTGGTTTGTCTGCACAATGTCTTGCATTTTCTCTCATCATGCTTTCCAGTGGTCTTTGTTTGCCATATATACTCATGTATAAGATGGCATAATGTATGAATTGAGGACAGGTTTATAGCCAAAATTAATGAAGGTTGTAAGACCCATTGATAAGTCAAGGGTCATTCCATGCAGTGGAGAAAGCCCAATACTGCCTTGGGGAAGAGGGGCAGCCTTTTAGACAAATATTACAGAGCAGCGATTATCCCATGAACAAATCAGCTCAGTTTTTTGGGGTGATTTTTGACTAAAATCTTTAGACCTATACAGGAGTGTATAAGGTACATCTTGAGGGCCTGGGCTTGTGACCACTTGAGATGGCACCACTGGACAACACTGTGCAAATGCAATGATGGCAGAAAAGTATGACTCCTTTTCTTTAGATGTGATTTGTCTGTGACATACGAGGAAAACCATGGGAGAAATGAAGTCAAAAACTCATTGATCACAAACATTTGTTTTCTGCTTTTGTTTATGAAAGGTAAAAATGCCACTGTTTTGTAACATAAAGCTGACTTTTTGTAACATAGATTACTTAACAGACTCTATTTACATGTTTGCCAGTTGACTCTCTTAAAACCCATCCTTTGACTTCTACAATAACTGATACCCCTCATTTCTTATCCAGTAATTTGCTATCTAATCCGTTCAACTGTAACTGTCACTTGGCATGGCTGGGAAAATGGTTAAGGAAAAGGAGGATTGTCAGTGGAAATCCACGTTGCCAAAAACCATTTTTCTTGAAAGAGATTCCTATTCAGGATGTGGCTACACAGGATTTCACATGTGATGGTAAGCAATTTTTCTGCAAATGGTATAATGAGAAAATTCACCTTTCCTTCATTATAGGAGTTTTAGCTAAAACAATCTGATTAATGTGAGCATTGTATAAGGCAACATAACTACATCAATTAATGTTGAATCTTTTCATCTCACTTGTACTCACTTGGTTTGTATGCAAATGGACTATGCTCTGTGCCTTAATACTGTCTTGTTTGGCAGCATGAAATCTTTGAGTATGTGATGGATCTGAGAACTTTCAAAACTGTTGCATCCCTCTGGAGCATAGAAACTTGACATCAAGAATTTTAACAGGAAAAACTATGTTTACATCATATTCTTGTACTCCTATTATTAATTAGTGAACTTTTTTGAAGGTAAATATATCTCATTGTCCATGATATCAAGTGCAGGTCTGTGCTGGCCAAGGAAAGAACACCTTTAGCCCAGTCCATAGTAACAAATGTGAGGTCCCTCCAAATGGAAGCTTTAGAAGAAGTATTCTGAAGTGCTGCAAGCAGATATGAAAAAGTATTCCTGTCTTTCCTCCATTAATGTAGCTTTCTGAGTAGAAAATGTATTGTCCTAGATGCAAGCTATTGTTTATATTTGTTTCTGTGGCTCAAGGGCTAAGTACAAAATTGTATTTTGTACAAAGATGAAGGTACAGTAATGATTCCAGCGCTGCTGAGAGTGAAAGGAAGAACTACTCATATTGTTCACCCTTTCATTTGCCTGAAAACAATTAAAACCTATTGTGGGAATTATCAGTAAAGGCTACATTCTTTGTTACAGCATGCAGCAGAACCTTGCCCAGATTGTGAAATATTTACGTTTTTTATTGACTCATTTTAAAGTGTATTCTACTTAATCTTTCTAGAGACATGTTTGGATGCTGCCATTGTTTCCTCCCCCTAATTCTTTGTGAAGCCACATATTGGTATTGGAAGCAATCCATAGTTTACGGTTCTTAACTTCAAATGCAGCATTGTTTTTGCTTTCCTATTATGAAGTCGAATCGGTTTTCTAAAATCTGTTTTATAGAAATCAGCACCCTTGTTGGAAATTCTAGATATTTTAAGCATGTCCACATGTATCCCTCATCTCATGGTGCATGCATAGCTAATCTTGCTTATTTATTTTAATTTATTGTATTTTACCCCATTCTATCTCAACTCTGAAGAGGACTCAGAGCAGCTTCCAAACTGGCAATAATTCAATGCCACATTAACATAATACAAACAAAATACAATATACATTGTGTGTTAAATCATGAAAATCATAACATATAAATACATAAATAAGGTGTTAAAAGATTACACATAGACTAAAAATCATAATCCAGAAGCTGTTCCATTCACATTTTCTTTGATTCTCATTGCACTTGTTAAAAACTAATAATTAAAAAAAATGAAATGTGCTACATTAATATGTGCTACAATAATAATAATACATAATAATGTGCTACAAATATTCACTATGCCAGGGGATAGATAATATTTTAGGTTCTTCCTTTTCTTCAAAATCATAAACATGAAACCACCATGTGAACCTCCGTGAAATCTACCATCTAGATTGTGGTATATCACAAACTGATTTTTCATATTATCTTGTGTCACCTTATTTTTTTCAGCAGCGTCAATATTTATTTAGCTACCAGTTATCAAACGTATAGTAACTGTAGAAAAATCAAATGATATGTATGCATATGTCAATGATATGTAGCATATGTCAACTAAACTATAGTTGTGTAACAATCAGGAATTATAACCTTGGAGTGATATCACACGTCATGTATTCCTTCTATCCAGATAACATCTACTTATGTTGTTTTTGTACAAATCTGCAGGTTTAAAAAGGTATCATATGTTAAAAATGCTGAACTGCTCTTTGAATCAAAACATTTTTACTGCTGGGTCCATGTTTCTCCAACATATCTCTGGTTTTGTTTTGGGGGGGTTTTTTGGGGTTTTTTTTTTTTTTTGGTTCCTAACCAGCTAAGTCTGCAGCTCTACCTCAGACTTGGCCTCTCCCCAAATGCACATATTTATCACCTTTTCAATTTAGTGCAATTTAAAATCCTCCAAACTGGCTGCATGCATTTTCTACTGGTATAGGAATTGATCTAGCAACTGTCAAAGTGCAGCCTTGCATTAAAAATATTTTCTGTAATGCAGAGAAGACAGTTCAAGAAATGATATAACCCTATAATCCTATAATGGCCCTTTGTATATTTTTGATAACTCAGTTTTATAAGCTGTGAGCTCTTATATTGGAATAAATTATTATCCAATCTCTATTGAAATGTGATTTTTCTTGCTTTTTCCACTTTGTAGGTAATGTTGAAAGCAGCTGCCATTTCTCCCCCCGTTGTCCTGACCAATGTACCTGTATAGATTCACTAGTTCGCTGCAGTAACAGAGGGTTGCGATTCCTGCCAAAAGGAGTTCCCAAAGATGTGACTGAACTGTAAGCCATGTTTTAAAATTGTTGTTGTTGTTGTTGTTGTTGTGTGCCTTCAGTTTGTTTTTGACTTATGACTCTAAGGTGAACCTGTCCAGATCTGAAATTGTGTGAGTTGCCCAAGGTCACCTAGAAGATTTTCATGACTAAGTGGGGGAATCACAGATAAATAAGTAACATGTTCAATAGAATCAATAAAACTATATGGGGTAAGTAGATTTTCAAAATTACATGCTTTTTCTACAGAGTTGGGATTCATCAGCTAGCTCCAAATAGTACCTCAGAGCAGAAACATTTTTGTGCTACTATCTATGAACCATACACATTAATCTACCACCTATTTCCATCTAGAGGGAAAGATGATTTTCCTTGTGTAATCTAAATGGCATACCAAAGGTCACGAATTAAACAACTACCACAGACTCAGGAGTAATATATATTCTTCTGGACATAAATAAATCACACCTCTTACCTTCCCCAGCCTGGTTTTTCATTTTGAGTTTTTGTTTGTTTGTTTTGCAATTTTTTAACAGGAAAAGACCCATACAAATTCTCGAGGGTCTGTGAGGGCAGTTATAGCATATTTTGGTAGAAGATATGACTTGCCTTCAGGGAAAAAGCTGCCTTTACCAGGATGACTCTTTTAACATAATCAAAAATGTTTCCCCTTCGTGTAGTCTGTGAAAAACGCACATAATGGGTTTTGTTCTGCGCATGCGCAGCTGTTCGGAACCTTCTAGAATTTTCAAATAGAAACTTTTTTTGGCGGACGCCCCGCCCAATCACCCCAATACTATAAATGCCCAAGGCGGGAGCCTCGGCTCAGTTCCTTTTCCGCGATCAGCAGCGTTTGGAACCTCTCTAGCGAGTTTTACTAGCGGACTCATTTCTCTTTTGGACTCGGAAAGCCATCGGATTTGCGATATTCTCCTGCCCAACAACCACGGAACGGATTTTGACTACTCTCAGGCCAGTTCTCATCTCAGAATGAGCACCTACTTCTTTAAAAAATGCAGCTCCTGTGGCGGCAAAGTGCCCGACTCAGACGGGCATTCCATGTGTCTGCTCTGTCTAGGGGAATCCCACCGGCCCCAATCCTGCCAAGTGTGCTTGGCGTTTACCCCCAGGGCTCGGAAGGACAGAGAGTCCGGGCTCAAAGCCCTGCTTTACGAAACAGCCTTAGCCCCTAGCTCCAACCGAGCGGAGAAGCGCCCAGCCTCAGAGGCGCTTTCTGACCCCCAGGAAGACCAGGATTTGGGGCTAGCTCCCTCCCAGCTATCCCTGCAGGGACAGGAAGCGGGGGACGACTCCCAGCCGGGGCCCGCTAAGAAGCCCAAGCCTCCGAAACAAGGGAAAGCATCCCATAAACACAAAGATGGGCTTAAAAAAGGGAAGAAGAGGGGGCAACTCGGCGGCAATTCGCCCCCGAGTCCCCATTCAACTAGAGGCGCAGCCCAGCGAGGCGCGGCCCGACCCCTCTCGGATGCCCCCACAGAGGCTCGAGGAGAAGCACAGCAAATGGCGGATCAAACGGCCAGATTGGAGAAAATGGCGCCAAGCCCACCAACACTCTCCCCCGCCGAGGGTCGTCCCTCGAGCGGCGTGCTCCTGGCTGCCCCGACATTGGTCGCGGGGCCTCCTTTAACGACCGACTTACCTGTTGTCTCCCACGGAGCAGGAGAATCCTTAACCCCGCCTGGGCTGCCTCAGCAAGGCCAAAATCCTCCCTCTCCGCCAGCAATGCAAAAGGGAGATGAGGGAAGGAGTCGCTCCTTGGAGCGTCGATCGCGCCACGTGCATCGGCACCAACGCAGGTCCCCATCCATTAGCTCATGGAGCTCGTGGTCCCGCAGCCCTGCGGGATCCTATTATGGGGAAGATTACTCCCCGGAGCGCCACCATTCTAGATGCCTCAGGGACTGTGCTCAGTACAAGTATGCCGTCCCTCATATGGAGAGAGGCTGTTGCTGCCATGTTTCTTGCTGCCAATACGCCGAGCATTCCTACCCTCCTGCAAGGGCCACGCCCCCTAGCACAAGCCTCGCCCATTCGGGGGTGGCAACTTCAGCTCCTCCTCACCTTGGACTTACTTACTTAGGCGATCCCTCGTTGGATGAGTAAGATGGTCTTCCATTATGGATTTCTTGTGGGTCCGTATGTGGCTGTGGAGCCCTATTCTTGCTCTGCATCTTCTTCCGCAGTGAGGGCGTTGGTTTCCAGGTGGAAGGCGGTCCCGGTCCGGGTTGGCTTGACGCGCCTTCCTCCTGGCACGTTTCTCTCTTTCACCCTCCACTCGTGCCTCCTCAAATTCTGCAGCACTGCTGGTCACAGCTGTCCTCCAGCTGGAGCGCTCAAGGGCCAGGGCTTCCCAGTTCTCAGTGTCTATGCCAGAGTTTTTAAGGTTGGCTTTGAGCCCATCTTTAAATCTCTTTTCCTGTCCACCAACGTTCCGTTTTCCGTTCTTAAGTTCGGAGTAGAGCAACTGCTTTGGGAGAAGGTGGTCAGGCATCCGGACAACGTGGCCGGCCCAGCGGAGTTGATGTTGGAGGACCATCGCTTCAATGCTGGTGGTCTTTGCTTCTTCCAGCACACTGACGTTTGTCCGCTTGTCTTCCAGAGATTTGCAGGATTTTCCGGAGGCAGCGCTGATGGAATCGTTCCAGGAGTTGCATGTGACGTCTGTAGACAGTCCACGTCTCACCTTGGAACCATGGCGCAGCCTCCAAAGGCTGACATACAACAGCCCGGCCAGCCCAACGCTGCAACAGCGCCACCTGCTGCGGGCCCATCGGTTCCAGCATCTAAAGTCTCGGCACTGAGAGCTGCAACCCCAGGAGCCGACGCAAACTTTCTCTCGGGTTCCTCTGATTCAGAGGACCGCCCCCACTCCCCCTCTGAGCCGCAACCTGACTCAGAAGCGCTCTCCGCTGAGGAGCTTGGGGGCTTCTCGGCCCTGTTGATAAGGCTTTCCAAGGCCCTGCAATTGATGGTGCCCCAGTCAACAAAGGTCGTGGAGGACCCAATGTTTCCCTCCTCTAAACAGCATGACCCTCCAATGACTGTCCTGCCTTCCCTTCCATTCCTTTTGCAACTCAGCAAGGCAGAAGGTGTTGCCACGTCAGCAGTGCCCGCAACACCTAAGCGGGCAGAGAATCTTTACAAGGTGGACCTCTCTGCTGCTCCGTGGCTAGCCAAACAGCCTAAGCCTAACTCCATTGTAGTGGATGTCAGCCAGCCTCGCCTCTCCCAGAGATCCCAAACTACCCCCTCTGATAAGGGAGGGAAGAAGCTGGAAACGTTGGGGAAGAAGATCTACGCTTCGGCCTGCCTCGCCTCCAGGATGGCCCACTACGGGGCTTACATGGCAGGCTACCAAGAATACCTGTGGGGCAAGATAGCAGGATACTTCGACATGCTCCCACCAAGCGAGCAGATGCTGGCAAAAGCCTTCCACCAGGAAGCAACACTGCTGGCCTCCTTTCAAAAGGATTTGGCCAAACATACAGCTGATGCAGCGGGCAAGCTCCTAGCGACAGCGGTGGCTTTGCACCACCATGCTTGGCTGAGGGGCTCGGGCTTGTCGCTATCGGCGAAGACGGTAATAGAGGATCTCCCGATGAATGAGTCGGGCCTCTTCAACCCGGAGACAGACTCCCAGCTGGAGCATACCCAGAAGATTAGACAAACAGCTCACAAATATGGTTTCTCTCCCTATCTGTCGCAGCATCACAGGCCATACTGGCCAAACCGGTTTCACCAACATCGAAGACGCTACAGCCCTCCAGCCTTTAGAGGACGCCAACACCCTGCAGCTCCTCCACCAGCCACCAGAAAGCCATCTCTCCCATACAGGGGCCAACAACGCGGCGGAGGTAAACAGCCCGAGCGCCAGAGGCGCCACTTCTAGCCCTCGGGCTGGAAGCAAATCTCCAACCTTTTCAACAGTTTCACAAGTTACAAGTTCTACAGTTGGCTCCGTTGAGCCGACGTTGATGTTTAACCGTTCTTTTTATTGTGATGAGTACCTCCCATCCTTTCCACGGTGAACTTTCCAAGACCGACTGGCCCCCTTCTTGCATGCTTGGAGGAGGATAACCACTGACTCTTGGGTGCTCTCCATAGTGGAACGAGGCTATGCCATAGAATTCGAATCTTGGCCCCCTGTGGGAACCATCAAAGTTACACCATCTTCCCCCCAGCTTCTCAAGGAGATCTCAACCCTCATAGAGAAAGGGGCCATCTCCAGGATCCATCCAAGCGAAGCCGAACACTGCTTCTTCTCCAGATACTTCTTGATCTCGAAGAGAGACGGAGGCCTCCGCCCCATCCTGGATTTAAGAGACGTCAACTTCTTCATAAAGCCTTGCAAATTCCGCATGATCACCCTAGCAAACATCCTCCCATTACTGCAGCGAGGGTTGTGGTTCGTGACTCGACCTCCGCGATGCATATTTTCATTTTTCAATTAGGAATGACCATCGCAGATTCCTAAGCTTCTCAATAGATGACCAACTGTTCTCTTACAATGTACTTCCATTTGGACTGGCGTCCGCGCCCCAGGTCTTTACGAAATGCATAGCGGTGGTGGCCGCACACCTGAGGCAAAAGGGAATAATGATCTTCCCGTACCTGGATGACTGGCTGATAACTTCGGATTCGAGATCCCAGCTTCAATCAGACCTCACCTACACTCTGTCTCTCTTACAGAGCCTCGGCCTCATCGTCAATTTCGAAAAATCCAACTTGACTCCTTCGAGATGCATCCAATTCATTGGTGCTACCATAGACTCCATCGAAGAAAGGGCCTTCCTGCCAAAGGACCGTTTCCAGGCCATCAAATTGGCGATAGATGACATCTGCGCACAGGGAGGAGCCACAGCATGGGCCTTCCAATCCCTGCTTGGGCACATGGCCTTGACAACGTCGGTCATCATGTTTGCAAGGCTAAGGATGCACCCGCTGCAGCATTGGTTCATCAGAGCGTTCAAGCCCCAACGCGACAGCCA